CCCGTCCCCTCTTCTCATACAACTCGGTCAACGATAGAACAGTAAACCATCCAACTTACACAGCTCACACGCTTCCTCGAGAGCAGAAGTTCCTCATAAGTTAACCTACGACAATTAACGAAACATAGTCGTTTTTTTTTTGAATGATTACTATCAATCTGGGCAGTTGCTACATATACAGTACACAGCGCTCGTTTAACCAAAAGAAGTCGTATTCTCATGCATCGACGTAAATAGGTCTGTTTTTGGAGCGTATTTAGAGAACCTCGAGCATTCTCTAATGAGAAAATTATATTCATTCAATGTTAAACTAAACACCAAAAGCCTTCTTTTTTCTTCTTCTAATAACAGTAATAATACTTTCTCATGGAATTTGCAATTGTACGGTATTTTCACTGCATTGTTACGCTCTCATATGGATGGTTAACTGATAACCGGCGGTCTCGGACTTCATTGGTACTAAGATGCGGAACTATTTATCTCCTACGAATCGCAGCAACAGCAACATTGGCATCGACTCAGGATCAGCAATAGAGGACAGTGACTGAGGAGCGCATCTGAACAATGTCGGATATAGCCTGATATTACCTCGGTAAAAGCGTAGAGATGATGTCCGTTGTTGGTAACTGAGCTTCACTAATTAACCTGCTCCAGTAGCAAAGCAGTAAGGGAGAAGTAATGGTGATAACACTGACGATGCTCGTGTGTGGGGATTCAAATGTGTACCTCACATATATTATACTATTATCTGTTGCTGCTGTCGCATTGACTTCCGTTGTTAGCTCGCAGAACAGTGCAATCGAGTCTGCCAAAACCTTCTGTTACGTTATCTAGCGTTGAGCCAGAACGGCCTGTGGTTACACTGGCATGACTGAGAGACGCCGTTAGATTGAAATCCAATCAATTAATGATGAATGCTTAGGTTTTTATACCAGGGCGCACTTTTTACCACATAAAAATAGGGCGGATAAAATACCGAGTGAAAGAGAACATTCATATAAAGTCTACTATACCATTTAAGCCCGTACGGCTTATTTTCCATCGAAGATATCGGCCATGCGCTCAACCTCTGTACTGGGTCCTATGCGTAGGTATTCAACGCGTTCTCGTACCAACGTGCCTTGAAGTGGAAGTTGTTAAGATCGTATGAAACGTTTTGCTTCTGCTTATGCATCTTCCATTTTTCCGAAGAAGTTAGCTATGGTGCGTGACAAAGAAGTCATCGATTTGATTCGTTGAGAATGGTTGTTTTGTCTTTCTCCCATTCGATACATAGACATACGCATATATGTGTGTGGAAGCTTGCTCTCCACCCTAAAATAGAGATAAGGAGCAAACGATCACAGGAAACTGGGCTATGTTTAGCCTATGCCCCATGACAAACTACAAAATACTACAAAAGGGTGCGTCGGGTCGTACTGGAGACGTGAGTTCAATAATCGTTGGATATAAGCAAGATGCTAGAAACTAGAGATGAATTACCGACATTGGCGTATAAAAATTGAATAAGATAGCCCATATAAGAGACACAAAATATCCGACTAGTTACATTTCGATGTATATTTTTGTCCACCAAAATACACTTGAAAAATATATTTTTTTCAATGATGTAAAAGAAACAGGGGTGCTAGAGAATGCTTTGGGTCACACTGGTTAAACTAATAATATAAGAGTAGAGGTTTAAATACTTCAGTATGCAATATGCCTGCATAGATATATTTCATGACTTCGGTCTGCTTGAGGTGGTACGCATAGACACATTGTACGTTCGTCATGGTAAACGTATCAGTAGCGTGCTTTTCGCCTAGTTTTGGCAGCTTTGGATACATGTCGCCAGCCATCACATTAGCCAACTTCAAAACTACTATTTTTTTTCGGCCATACGACTTCCGGTAGGCTACACCATGGAAAAGATCAGTGAAACATTACCAGCAGCGAGGGTAGCCAGGAACCTATGGTAACGCCGTTCGACTTTTTGTCCCCTTTACAGGGTATTTTGCCCCGAAGACCCTATATGTCTCTCTCGCACTTTTTTTTCCCTTTAACGCCTACCATATTTTTAGGTTTCTCACTGTTGTACAGTCTGACCCGCAGCACAACCAGCGTAGTGCATAGACTAGCAGGAAAAGCAGCACGAGTCAGTTTAGTAGCAACGTTATCAACAAACGCTTCATATTGTCCGACGCCCCTCGAAACCTCGCGACCCCTTCCGACCCGCGCGACTCAACCAGACCGTCCTTTTCTCGGATAGCTTCACAGCGCGCGATAACAACTTTTTGTGCGGCTACTGCCGCTGCTGTCCTCGGACCACTACGAGTGGAAGCATTGTCTCCGCCGACGCACCATCTGCTATTCGCTGCTACCCACTGCCTTTCCTACTGTGCAGTGCCTATTCATTTCATTTTCAGTTTCCGACATCATCACTACCGCCCAACAGCCAACCCCCTGACGCGCGCTCTTTTTCGCCCAGAAAAACTGCTCTGTAGGAAAGCATTCGTGAGGTGGCGTGCAGGCACAGGCGAACGTCGCTATACCGAAACCATATCTGTTTGGTGGAAAACACCCGACAAGAATAGGGACGAACTACAGCTGATAGTATTGCAACTCGCATCGCGTATGTTAGCTATGGAACAACATCAGGTATTGATTGTGCTTCTTATTCCAGACCAAAGGGATAGTACTTTTACAGCCGTGCGGCAGATCGATAAAATCGTAAAAATGCTCTTGCCCATAAATGGGCGAGAAGTGTAAAGCTAGAGCGAGCAACTGCGAAAGAACAAATTAATCTATACATATATCTAAAAGCTTAGTTAAAAAGCTTTTGTTACTTTAACTGTAAAACTCGTAGTACACTATTGTTTCAGCCCGCATATATATTCAAGAAGGCGTTTCGCCATATTATAAGTGCGGCTAAAGGGAGCTTGATACGTTTGCACAAGATCATCAGTTCAACCGGGTATAACAGCTGACTATAGAACTCGGGGGCCAACAAGACGGCTTCGAGTTTAGGGTGCTTTTGAAACAGGTGAAACCAGGTGTTTACTTGGCAATTTTGTTTAGATATAAGAGGCTTTCCGATTTAACCAGTGACAGCCGCTGACGTAAAATTATCGGATAGTACTTTGTGTCAAGAAATATTTTTAGGTGCTTTTGTTCTCTATTGACCCTACCGGCGGTCCAGGTTGCTTAATACCATTTTCTCGTCGCCTGTTGACAACCGGCCGGGTAATTAACAATTGAGCTTTCGCTGGTCTTGTAACGGATTTCAAGTGCTACGAGTTTTACTGGCCTCGTTTGCTACCTAGGCTACGATTTTCGTACGTTCTTAATCGTGAAACGCTATTACATGACGTACACGGTATGGCAAATGCTATCTATATCCGCTTCCTAACCTAGGCAAGTGGCTACTCATCGTTGCTGTAACAGGCTCCGCTTTCTCAAGAAAAACCCTATAAAAGGAACCGACTTAGAGAAGAAGAGGCTGTGGCCAGTTGAAAACGACCGTAAGAACTCTATGGAACACCCTTTACACCTCCACAGATGAAGACCCGCAAAGGAGAAACAGCTTTACCGACAATTGCCGCCGACACGAAACTTACGTGACGAGAATCCAAATAAGCGCTAGTCGAGGTCTTGCTCTACACGGCAGGTTGTCAATCCTCGTCAACCTGCGACCGCCGCAACCGGTAATTCGGTGACCGGACGACCATATGGCAGAAGTCTCGGGATTTAGGGACGGACTATGGCGGTTACAAACAGCGCTAAATGGCACTATGCGGTGGCTAATATAAAGCGACGACGATGGCGTTTCTTGCCCTGGACACAGCTGTCGCGTTCATTTGACCTAATGGCTCTCTCGTTGTTTAATAGCTGTAAGTTGCTGCACATACACAGCAGGGCCGTGCTAGTCTAGGAATAGAGAAAAGTATTCGTCCGAAGGGGAGAACAAGTGAAAGACCAAGAAAGAAAAAAGGTAGCGGCAAGTGCAAACCTTCATCGGCCCCTTCCCCAAGTTTTGTAATAACCGCAGTTCTCGAGCCGTATCAGGTTGGTTCCTTGTTGGGCCTGACAGCGAAATTAGGATTTGATAGAAGAAGGCCCGCGCGACGATTACGCCTAGTCAAGTTGGTTAGAAACATGGCCGAGCAGATAGGGGACAACCTTCTCGCATCGAGTGACATTTAACAGCAACTCTTGCCGATATGACAAGTGCTATGATATTAGGACATCTCAAGGCAATAACAGGTCATACCGCATTCTTCTATGTGACGCTATCTATACACACGAGTAGAATTAATATATAACAATCCAAAATATCACGACGAATCGTCTTTTTTTTTTTATATTTTTTAATACAGTGTCCCACTAATTTCAGCCTAACCCAAAAATGTATCGCATTATATACGCATATGACACCACGAAAGCTTTCAGTAGGTAGACAAGGACATTTAAATATACGCTAAACGTAAAACGTACATGCGTTGCAGTGTACTATGTATGTATTTTTTAAGGATTTTGAGTGAGCTAAACAACTATTTTCATTGCACGATTCAACATTCTTTGTGAACGTGTTCAGGCAGGTTTTTTTCATTATGCAATACATAGTCTATTATATATAAACAAATACACTGAAGAAGGTCTCTACTTGAAAATGTGCCCTTCATATAGCCACAAATTTTACTTCGCATGACTCCGGTTCAAAGAGACATCGAGCGGACCATAAAAAATGCTTTTTAAAAGCTTCAACCCTTACGCGCGTACGGTACTGCACTGCACGAACGTTTTTCCTCCGATGTACGAAGTCGAAATGTCTTTGCAGGCCTAATCGAGATTTTCGTGACGTCGTTGTCGTTGCGGAATAAAGCCGAAGCTCCGCCCACTCTCCGAGATCTCTTCCCGTTTCCCTTGCCACCGCCCTCTCCACAACCAGCGTCCGCATCCTTCAGGTACACGTGCTCGAACGGGCCATATCGTTTCAGAGTAGCTTTATTGGTCAGAGATGCGGGCCATGTTGATGTGAACCGAAACATAGAGCATTGATTAAGTGAGACTGAGCGCAGATCCTATTTGTCGTACACTTTCGAACCTAATGAAATCCGACATAACGCAATAGACGATGTGTCAGTGCAGACTACAAAATATCAACAAACGCTTCAGAGGAGTGCCTTTTGTTGAAGTGAAAAAAACGGATACCCAAACCTCTCAACGGAAGCTTCATGTAAGTAGAGAGTGAGTCATCAAGAAGCCAAAAAGAACTGTTTCGTTCGCAGTATCATCTTAATGTCTCGTTAAAAAAAAAAGACTGATCGCACTGCCTTCCATTGGTATTCGTCGATAGTAAGTGTTTACTAAACTAAAATCATAAATGTAAAGTAATCGATAATTACTGTTATGTGATAGTCACTGTTGATGATTGCTTACATAGCATATGGGTAGAAATTTATGTATATAAAACACTTTCATTCTACTGCTGTACCGCAAAAAGGACGGCACGATCGAGTAGCTTCCATTAGATTGAGGCACACAGAATCATTTCCTTTACCTCTCAACAGTTTTCCGTATAGATGGCTATACCCAAAGTTTAAAAAGTCGTCTCAAAAAAAAACAGGCGTTGTAGTTCTAGAAAGCTAATCCTCTGAGACAAAACTGCGTAAAGATTTACCACGTCAATCACATAAAAAAACTACTTATCTACTGCAAGGAAATTCAGCGTTCGGAGTAATATAGGGTCGTTTTTGAAGTCAGCACTAGCTTGGGTGCATAATTTGGCCAATTACGGCTGTACAGAAAAGGGGCAAGCGACACCCAAGCCCAGTGATTCGTTCCAATCCGCTATTTTATAGAAAATTATGGGTGTATCCTTGCTAATCACAGCCCATCGTTCATATAAGCCGCTTGCTATATCGAAGAACAGGATCGCAACATTATATATCGCATAGATGATCGTTTGGGATTTTTTCGTTAAATAAAAACAAAGAAGATTTATAAAGAAATGTCTCGCGGCTTTGTAGTCCAAAAAAGATATGTCTCCCGTATTTAGCCCGCTAGGGGCACATTCATGCACCTGGCAGATCGTAGAATACGATCAGCATCAATGATCAATGCTTGATGGTGAGCCTGTAAATAATTTTATTATACTAAAGCCTATAAACTAATTTGGTAAGGCTGCTGATATTAAATAGTCTCATTAACTAGTCAATGTAAAGATAATAGATTTACTTTTAATAATTTATAAGTATTAAAAATATATTTAATAATTACAATGAATACTATAATTATTATTATAAAAAGGCCATACCATAGATTTAGTGAAGTTACTCGTGCCGCGCGTATTAGAGGCGACTTGATCTGGTGAGCGGCACGATTATTTAAATGAATGATAATGCCTATTTAATTATAAACAACTACAGTTTATGTGCTTTAGTGCGTCCCATTATCTACCGATAAGGGTGCTTTTTTTCTATTCTAAGCTTTGGCCACTGTTTCTTACTATAAGGATGACCGGTAGGGGTATATGAGTGGTTTCTCCAAATAAGGGAAGATAGCGTTTATCGCATATCCCATGTAGGGCATCTAAATTTTGTGACAGATGCCACAAAGTAGGCTTGAAAACCAATAACGACCTCAACGCTTTCGACAAAGGGGAAATCCACCGGCATCGACTTCGATTAGTACTATCGTCGTATCGCTTGTGCGCTGTACCAGTTGAGCCCCGTAGACTTTAAAACGTTATTGACCTAATCGATAATAACATCTAAAGTAGACGTATGTCAATTTTTTAGCATGTTCTGCTAAATTTTTCCGGCACAACATATGGCTAGTTTATGTCCTCTGTTCGCAGTTTCACTTAATTGACCAAGATGACGCCGACCTGCGACAGTGCCCATGTTTTATGGGTTACCTAGCAGGAAGTCAGCAGCGTGGCGAGAGGATTCTGTTACTCACCGGACAAACGCTTCCAGCTTATTGTTCATATGCTCGCGCCTGAGATCGATGCAGACGTCTGCGCAGGTCTACGTAGGGCAACGTCCGCCTGTATTGGACGTTACGTCTTGCAGCGACTGTCACAGAAAGTCCTAAATGGATTCAACCGCGAACCCACCGATATTTCTATATTCCTAACTGCGTATCCAAGCGTATCTCGTTTTCGGAGAACGTCAACCGATCCGTAATGCCTAGGCACGACAAAAACACCATTTAATATGCATAAACCACTGGGACTGTATGTAAAGAAAGCTTGGAAAGATCATATCTACCTTCTGGGTAGCTAATCACAGTGTGGAGGCCAAACTGTGCCCATGGCCCTTTCGGTCTTGTACACCATGTATATATATATATATGATCATGCTTTGGGCGGAAAGAAAGTCTATTAGTCACGAATGCTCTACTATTGAACTACATATATATATTTTTCATACAAAATAAGAATTCGTGTGCTTGTAGTATTTTGCATAGTGGACTAAATGGGGGCAAGACGTTCTATTTTGATCTGAGTCACTGTTATTTGGAGCCCATATGAACATTTTACCCGTATCACGTATATGCTGTATTCGTATTTTTCTTTGCAATGCGGGGCACAGTGTGCTTTATTGATACAATCGTATAAACTGACTAAGACTAAATAGGTTATGAGTTAAATGTTGTTTTTGCCCTGTTTATAGGGGAAAAAATAGTATTTCCGAGAACGACATATTACCTGCCTTGTACATCTTGAGTGATTTTATCCTATCGTTTTGAGTGCAACGAGCCCTGATTTAAACACCGTCGCTGTACGATACATAGAGAAACTGAACAAAGTTAGTCGGCAGAATGTAACGTTATTAACAGAAGTTAGTTGAATTACAAATTTAGAATACGGTCGAGACAACTAAATAGCAACAATAACACTGAGAATATTGACGTTTTCGTAGGTCCTTGTAGATTTTAGTACCAATCAAGCTAGGAAGTTACTACATGATTCGCTTGTTATTATTTGGCTACGTGGACTTCACTACGTTAGCTACTTTGCCCCACTGGCTTCCTTCGGCCCGTTCGTTGATGAACCTCAGCAATCAACTGACTGACTCTAGCAGCAATTCTATATAATACTAATGTCGAACAATGTTAGAGAATATCTTGATTGAAAGTTTGATGAAGACTTTTTTTTAGAAGTTCTAGAATAAAGGTATGTCACAGTGTTTGAAAATACCCGTAATTAGTAAAAAATGATTGGATTTCCTCCGAGTAACTCTTCGGCTGACATCAAGTAGTTTGAATGTGAAGAACGGACTTCACACTTAATTAAACATCACCAACCATAATATATATAAAGGAAACGAGATTATACGCCCGCGCAAGTTACCGGGGCAAAACATGAATCAAATATCCAAACGATTCGTCTTCGATGGTACTACACTAATTGCCATCTTATATAATATAATAATTCAGTCTGTGAAGCACAAAGCCCATCTGACCCTGGCAGTACAATATTGCTAGAACCAAGCTCCCTCTATGTGTTTCGCTCGCCAAAACGGTATTAAAAAGAACAGCTGCAACCATTGCTTGAACTTGAGTTTAGGTCCTGTCAGGACCCGTCCTGATTAATCGAACTGGGCCTAGCTATTCTTTCTGTACGTCGAACATAAGTTAACTCTAAAAGCGCAGAAGTGTAGTTGCATTTATTGGAATAGCGAGTGAGGTGCTAGTCCAGTCGAATAGTCTTTACGAAAAAATGCTCATGAAGGGACTTTATGTTCGAGTTAGCTGTTTTTTTGTGTCTGCATAGTCTTTCTGAAATGTTCCTTTGAAACTGCGTATTCTACAAACGGGATAATCGTTCAGTGGATTTAAACAATTCCTATCTCGTCGGGTAAGCTTAAGAATTCTATGCTATATTTTCATGTAATTTATATGCGTACATTTAAAATGTGTTAATAGATGATTACGGGTTTAGATACCGGAAAAAAAAAAAGCCATTGTGAGCATTTGTCCGTCGTCTAGTGCACAGTTTGGCCATACGATCTGCAGACGTAATGGATAGAAGATTTTCGAAACGATAGACTGATTGGCCATAGTGGGGCATTTGGCCTGCTCTCTCAACAGAGACTGCTTACCCGCCCTGAAATTCTGTTACGGTTCTGTGAGAAGCCTAATGGCTAAACAGGGATGATTAAGGATTGTCTTAGATCGCTGCGATGGCAGAGTAATTGATAAGTCAATGAATCGAATCATCAAAGGTATTATGTGTGGCAGATTCATTATCTTTAGCGAGACGTGAATGTATCAGCTCGTGCTGAATGGACGAACCTACGGTGCACAGTGCGCTACAACAGGGCTCAAGCTAATCTTTTGCTATGGGTTGCAGGCAAACCCGAGTAGTATACAGTACATCGTCGTTATTCTGGCAGCGTTAACCGTCTACGGAAATTCGCCAAGATGTGGTTTTGTGTTTGACGACCTTTCAGCAATCGTGTCGAATCGTGACGTGCACGGACATACGCCGCTATTTCAGCTTCTCACAAACGACTACTGGGGAACACCAATGAACATGGTAATACACCGAAATTTCTAAAAATGGTATCTAAAAATTGGAACAAAATTTTGTTTCGAAGCGAGCGGGCTATGTAGAACGTGGCTAACAATAGCCACTGGCTGGAACTTGCTAGTTCGCGAAAATAAGAAGATCTCCGTAAGGGATGATAGCTTTGAAATGCTCGATTCACAGAAGATATGTCTATATTCTTAAGAGATATGACCTACCAAAAAAACCTTCGAATTTCATACTTTTCATAAGCTTTCAAATGTCTTAGTGAGACATGCCTGCAAAACCTGCATCGAAGTCGCAAATGATTTTATTTCAGGAGTAGATCCGCTAAGTGCACTCAATAGTTATATTGGACAAACGCAAAGGTATCGATGAATGTACCTTGCCGAACCTTTGGTCTACAAAGAAACCCATCAGGCGAACAATGAGGCTAACTAAGGGCTAAAATTACGGCTAGGTTCTGAACCGCAAGGTAGCAACCTAATGATGCCTATAGACCTGAAGTTATGAAAAGATATATTCTCCCTCAATGCTCTCTGCTTTCAGATTGGGGACACCGGTATGCAGGCTCTCCGAAAATGCTTCTTCTGATACTGCTAAATGATTTCTAGGTTGATTGGTATGAAACGCTATTTTATGAACTCTAGGTTTAGGATTAGTTTTCAATCAAGGTATCATTCATTATGAATTTTTGCGAACCGAATGGTAATTTATTAACCCTTTTACTGTAAAAGTCTTAGGTACGCGATCTAATCTATACAAATTTAAGAACTCGTTTCGACCACACGTTTAGATTTGAATGAAGATATTAAAAAATATGTAATCAATTCCTGTCGAGTACTCTAGATGGTGAAACGCTTGCAGCTGCAGTTCCACCTTCACTCCAGTGAGTCCTGCGGTGTGAAGTTGAGCGTGGTCGTGCAATAGGGATGTATATCTTTGTTTACTATCCTTAGCTGCTTAATGCGGTGTTTTCTCATTAACTGCTCCAATTATTGACTTCCGCCGCAATTAATAAGCCACAAGTCACAACGTTAGGCTACAAAACAGGGACAATATCGCATCGGACGTTCCACTGGTCCAGTTGCATCTATTTATAAATGTCGTCGTGCACAATTACCGTCAAAGATCCATTTTTGGTACAGAAATGGCTCTCTATTGAAAAAAGAAGCAAGCATCCTTAATGTGTCTCTCCTTGATCCACACTCAAATCATGCCACACCTACTTGTCCAACATTTTTACCTTATTAAATTGACCAGAATGAACAAGTACGGTATTTTTTCCATACCTTAAACCTAGGGTCCTAACACCCGCGTATCTCGAAATCTGTTGGCTTCTGCCACAATTCTTGATCCGTCAGATTTTCCTTTTTAGGGAACATTCTACGACACTCATTTTCCCGTTGAAAACCTTTTCCCAGAATTTTTCTTTTTTAGCCGACAGTGTTTCTAGCTGCAGAAACTTTACCAAACACTAAATCTATACTGTTTTAAGCTGTTTTAGAATTGCAAGCGAATCCAGTTCTTCTGATTTTGCATTCTGATCGATTACGGCTCGTCTGCCGAAGGACCAAGTAATTATATCCTAGAGAAGGGTCTCAAAATTCCGGGAAATGTTGCCTCCCTACAATACTTTCAAGACTTTAAGAAGGCGATTGTTTCCATAGGGCATTGCAAGAAGCAAAAACTTTCCAGAAATTTAACCATAACTTGGTAGTAGCGCAGTCCGAGCCTTAAATAGTGTTCTGAAAATTATACGAAAACCAACATAAGAGCGAATGTTCACCCTAATCAGCATTGACATAAAAGATAAATTTCAGCAAGAACAAACAAATTGCTTACTTGTATTGGACATTTTTCTGGAAGTATTTGCGTATATTTTACATTTAGAAATTGAACTGTCTTAAAATTTCGCCAGTAGAGACAACATTGCTAAATAATTATAGAAACCCTATGACGAAGGTGATAGCACCGAACAGCTGGGGGCGAATCCAACCTGAAGACGAAGGAATGTGTTCCTTTATAGTTACGTACGATTTAATAAATTGAAAGAGTTGGCGAATCTAACAAATATGATTGTAATTAGAAAATATTCCGTTTTGCACACATTTTAGGAGCATAGTCACAAGTCATATCGGCCATTAAGTGTGTTAACGTTCCGAATATCTTACGCTCTGCACGGACTACAGTCTTTCGGGTACCATCTTGCAAACGTCCTCCTACATGCAGCCGTGTCCGCCAGCGTACTAAGGTACGTTTTTTTTTTTTTCACTATCTTATAATAGCTAAAAATATCCGTACTTTGTCCAAAAATGCACGTACGGTAATATCCTCAAAGTGTAACAGGTGCATGTTGTCTACGTTACTTATTACTCATGTCAATTGTACATCGAATTATGACGTCTTTCAAAAACGGAATACCAAAAATGTGATCGAGCGTACCTGCTCGAGCACTCAGAACTGCTAGATATAAGGGAAGTATTACGGCAGCTACCGATTAAGGGTTCCCTTCCGAATCTGTGTCCTTGCGAAAACCATTATTTTCCGTGGCACAGGTTTTCCGCACAATGGTTAAGGATCAGCGATCGAATCATAGGAGCGGCGCCGTTTCTCTGCGCATTGCTGTTCGCCATACATCCTATTCACACGGAAGCTGTGAGTAATAATGGGCATGTTCGTTCGGTATCACATTGTTCGAATGGAACATTTCTCAAAGATACTTGTACAGAAAGGTCTTCACGCTGTCGAATGCTTTTTTTTTAAACTGTAGATTTAATTTGCAGGTGACAGGCGTTGTAGGTCGTGCCGAACTTTTAAGCGCCTTATTTTTTCTGTGGTCGCTAATGTTCTGCGAGGACGACTCGTGGACCTCGCAGTCGATCAGCATCGTTATGTGTATATTGGCAACTTTGTCAAAGGAACAGGGTTTTATGGCATTTCCACTATGCATCCTCCTGAAGGTCATTCGGCGTATTCCGCTTCAAAAGCTGTTTAGAAGTTCCGAACATAAGAGCATTTTAATTTACCTAAGAGCGGACAGCCATAGATATGTCGGCTATTTGGTCGCAGCCACAGTATTACTATACGCACGGTATCGCCTTATGAACGGGGAGCTCCCAGTGTTTACCAGGTGAGTAACCCGAAAGTTGGGCAAATGCTAACGATTCTGATGCGTATGGCTAGCTAGCTAGGCATTACATACATTAAAAACATCCTCGATGTATTTATCCCGCATAGGTTTGATAATCCTGCAGCATCGTCGGATCGACCGTATCGTCAGTTGACATTCGCATATCTCGCAGCCTTTAATTTCGGCATATTGCTATTTCCATTTCGGCTCTGCTGTGATTGGACGATGGGCTCTATCCCGTTGGTGGGAGTAACCGACCCACGCAACCTCGCAACATTAGTACTGCTTGCAAGTCTCATAGCCGTCCTGTGGAAGCTGTTTTTAACAGCTGCATCTGGTTCAGAGCGCGAACTGGGTCGTGTGATTATATCTGTGGCGATGCTGATTGTACCGTTTATACCCGCGTCGAATCTTTTTTTTCACGTTGGATTCGTGATCGCCGAAAGGGTCCTCTACATTCCGAGTGTCGGCTTCTCTATGCTAGTAGCCAATGGCGCTTACAATCTACCGAAGCATGCAGCTTATACTCAGCGGTAAGCAATTTTAGTATTAACTGACTTATACCGCCTATATTACGCAGCAAGAATTTAAACTGATTCTTGCTTGTTTAGCTATCATCTAAAACGGTGGTTCACGCTTCTTTTGTCATGTTTCGTGCAGGCATAGCTCACCGAAAAAAAAAACTGGCCGTTAGCCCTTTTCGGTCCACTGCGCTTCTCTAGCACCAGACTTGGTACCAATGTGCTCTGTGGTGCAAGCATGCCATTAAGTATGCTAGTCTCGTATCAGAATTGCCAGCTGTAAACTTCAGAAGGCGTTAAGTCGTTCACTCTTAGCGTAGTTGACATTGTATCGGGAGTAGCTCGATTACGTAGGAAGCAAGTATAGATGTTGCTTAAGGGAACTATCGAATCACTTGTTCTAGGTGAGAAGTTTAATTATGAACGAACAAAACTGAATTAGAAATTCGAGCAAATGCTTTTGTGTTTCTTTTGTTTTTACCTAACAAGAATCACGAAGTATTAATATCTCCTTGTTAAACTAGTTTCTTAAAAAAACAACTTATGCTATTTGAACGCGTTTGTTTCTGTAAATCTTACTTTTACACGCTTTCAGGTGGTGCAAATTGGGTTTGTTCCTCCTCGTCAGCTCGCACATGGTAAAGACAATTCAGAGGAACTTGGATTGGAAAGACGAATTATCCATTTATTTATCTGGACTTCGCACCAATGTTAATAACGCAAAACTGTTTAATAACGTCGGATTCGCCTATCAGCAACAGGAAAACTTTGAAAAGGCACTTGAGTTCTTCCAAAGGGCTTCCATGTTAGTATATAGAAAAAGTGACAGCAATATTCTGATATTTCTATAATTTACTGAACAATTCGAGTTAGTTGAAATTAAATAAGTTAAAGTAGCCCATTTTCTATGAAATATTATTGGAATGGATGAGAAAACGCACTGGAATAGCTTACAATCTAACTAGAAAAAAAATTTTCCTTTAATATCTACATAGATACACGTTGACTTTGTTTTGGTTGAAATAGCTCAAATTCTTTGCAAAGATGTAGCTATTTCTATATAAAGGTTCGAATCGTTCCACTTATCCAATATGGAGTAGGTCTGTGTGTTATTCTAGTAACTAAATGCCCTAGCTTATATAGGACTCGCTCCTATTGTCAGCACGCGAGTGGGAAAATGTAGACTCGAAATTTCAATATGGCGATCACCATTTTAAACTACTCCATTGACACTACGCCACTGTTCTGCTTAGACTCCAGCCGGACGATATTGGTTCGTGGATAAACGTTGGCTGCGCATTAAATAAGCTTTCCCGATTTACTGAGGCTGAAGCTGCCTACAGTAAAGCTCACTCCCTCCTGCCGAGACGCACTCCACGATTAGGAGTCACCTCGAACCCAACAAAGGAACTTAGGATTGCTCCTGTTCATCTGAATGTCTTCGTTAGTTTGGCTAACCTTATCACTCGAAATAACAGCCGCCTACATGAAGCCGATATGGTAAGAACCATTGACATTGACTAAAATCCACCCCCTCCCACAAACGAGTCTGTAATTAGACCAGAGCGGGAACGTTGTCGACCGGTTTTGTCACAACCATCTACTGGCAATGCAATCAGGTTCACTGTAGGTAGACAACGCGACTCAGCAGGTTTAATATCGGCTAATAAATTTATTTCATCTTACGTTAATGCCTTGGTAAATCATTTTCGGCCTTGAGGTCCAGGAACCAACGCTTTAGATGCTCTGGAGTTATGGGTTTAGCCATTACTAATCATGTCACTATTCATACTGCTTAAAATCGATTAGACCGCCTTTTTCGGCAAAGTGCCGTTCTCTGTAGCTACCCATAGTTAATAGAGATAATCCACGAGAAACGAGAACGAACAGCAATAGTCATCTGCGCATAAAAGGGCATGGTATAGTTGACATCGAACAATACCATCTTGACCTTGACACAGAGTCCGTAAAACAAACAATTATTATATTCATAGTGAATGATCAGGGACATTTTCTAAAAATGTATCTATGGGGTCAGCAGACTTAATTAATCGCCAATTTAACGTCTTTTCCGTGTAGCTGTATCGAGAGGCAATAGCCATGAAGCAAGATTACGTGGACGCTTACACAAATCGAGGGGAAATACTTTTGAAGATGGGTCGACTTGACGAGGCAATACAGGTGTACTCACATGCAGTGAAGCTGAAACCGTTCGATCCGAACGTGCATTTTAACCTTGGAGTTGGGCTCGTCAAACTAGACAACCACAAAACCCAAAAGAATTATACAGAGCGGGCTGCCCAAGAATTTCTTACGGTACTGAAACTGGATCCAAGTCATCAGGTAAGAAAATTAAGTGGTAACTCATGTGCGGCTACTTTATCGTATATATATATATATATATATATGTGTATATAGATATGTGTATATATATATATATATACTTCATTCATATGCACTGATTTTATTGTTTAGAGCATAAAGTTGTCTTCAGTACTCAAATCGTGGGTCGAAATAAACGTTAAAGCAACTTTTGCGGGTCGTTTTTAAGGTCCCCCATTTACGTGGCTAATAAACCTTCGAATGCTAATTAAAAGTTAAGAATTTTTGGATTTTAAAGGCATTTCAAGGCGTTTTCCTAGATAATAGATTCAACCTGGCTAGGGGGCCTGTGTTATATTAGCCTATTACACTACGCCATCGCGATTGTTACTGATCTGAGGTACTAACTGTGAAATTAGTATAAGTTATCTGTGGTGTCGAAGGCTAAAATCGATGATACTGTTTACAGAGAGCTTTGTTGAGTTTGAGCATGTGCGTTCAAAATATCAGTGAAGTTCGATTCCGGCGCCGCCTAGTTGATCGGGTTGAGGAAATTGCTCTTACGACTTCGGACGCTCCGGGCCAACATACGTTACCTTTGGAGAACGTTTGGTTCAACTTGGCCATGGCGTGCGTGCAGCATGCTTCGCAATCGTCTCAGCCGTCGTGTAGTCTAGATCGGGGTGAAGTTTTCTTTCGACGAGCTCTTGCACTCCGACCGAACTTTCGGAGTGCACTCTTCAACCTCGGAGTCTTATTGTTCGAACAGCGGCGTATTACGGATTCTGTGATTGTCCTTGAACAATTGGTTACTTGGCATCCGGATCACGTTAAAGGCCTCATGCTGCTTGCCGATATTCACATGATACATAGACAAGACAAGAACAAGGCCAAATTGGTAAGTTGTCTGAAGGATAGATGTATACTGTATTACATTACGACATTATCGAGCGCAGTCGATCCCATAGTATTATAGCAGTAGTTGCTATAATGAATTACTAATTGAATCATTCGTACCGATGCTCAGTTTTATCACAAGGTCCTCGAAGTTGAACGGGTGGATAATCAGGGTGTCCGTTACAATCTCTGCATAGTCGAGTCTTCCACGGAGGCTGAGAAGTCGCGTTGCTCGAAGTACATTACGCGTATCAAGCAAGACGAGGTTTTCCATAAAAGTAGTAATCTCTAGGGCACAGCCATCATTCTGTGTATCTGCACATTGTTATGTAACAAATAAAGGAATCAGATACTATTTTGTTGACGAACTGTAAATAGTCGATGTCTTAGCTTTTACCGATAGTTATTCAGATCGATCGTATGGATAGCATTTCGTTAGCTGTAATGTTCCAGATGGAACCCAGTAATAGCACCGCAACGAAGATTCCTCGATCATAGCGTTTTCATTTCCCTTCTACCTTATAGGTAAAGCCTAGGGGCATACATGTACATGCATTTCAATGATCGAAAAGAACACATTCAAAAAACACGTAGAAAAACCATGCAGTCACAACCAAGCGATCCCCTTCACAACATTTAACTTTAGCCACTACCTATATTCATAGTACAAATGCAATTTTGCTCCGGTCCGACTATTAAAAACTTGCTGATTAGTTATCTAGCCATATTGAAAGTCGTAAGTCAATGAGCCTATTGCCAACGTAACTAACTGACTTCAAACTACTGCACTTTTCCAAAGTGTGCACATTTCACAGGCACATGTATAGAGAAAGCATAATTAACAAGGGCCAGAAGCACGACGGTGAAGATTAACGACTCTAGGGGCTAATGTACTGCCAGTAGGACGATGTTGATGTTGAATCTTGTTCATTGATTATCTTTTAGCGGTTTCAATTTGATGGCAGCCCATCACGACAACGAGAGCAAATATGATTTCTGTGTATCGTTTTCCCAGAACGAGAGAAACCCGCACTTATAGACAGACATATGCTCTCGAGAAGAGCCCTGAGCGGCATCGTCCGTGCGCACCTCTCTTTTTATCCGAAAATGGTGATTATTCCTTGGTGGCTCATTAGAACATGAGGATTACGAAGACCCCTCAAATTAAACGAACCGGCGCCTATATAGCAACGTAAAGCAACTAAAAACAACTCACTGCGCATCTAACGATCCATGAATAGAATTTTGTGTTTATGCAAGCGAACAAGGAATCATCATATTCTATATGTCAACTTTCTCTATCCGATCTGTCTCTGTTTCTGATAATATCGACTCCGTTGAAGTTTGATTGTTTACAGTGAGATGTTCTAGACACTGGAGACGCGACAAAGTAGCTGGTAAAGTGTACTAACAAATGCTACGATTCGCACCGATATCCCGAAGCCGAAAATCCTAGAGATAAACTCCACTCTTTCCAAACCTTGTTTTTTGACTAAGACTATTGCAAACAGCGATATTTAAGCTATACAAGTCGTCCAATGGTCATTTTCTATAATCCGCATTTTTTCCAATTTAACAGGGAGATGCAAATAGAAACAAATTCGCAAAGAAAACATCATGAAGAAGTTCTGCTTTGCCTTCGATTCAGTCCTGTCACCGTCGCAAAATGCCACATAATCAGCTTTTTACCCCCTTACCCCGCCTAACTTTTCCTCATCCTTTACAACGTCTTTTATTTTAAGCGTTTTTTTTTACCGGCAAAGGCGTCTCCTTGTTTGTCTCTTAAATGACTAAAACAGAAAGCGGACCGCATAATTTACATTCAGCTAGACGGCATATAAGCACGTAGATTTTGAGGAGCAGGCTACCTCGTTGGCAAACCTCAGACCCCCAATGCTGAGCCCGGAAGAAGGCGACAAACGCGAAGACTTACGCAAAACACGGCCAGAAACGGCAGTTGCGGCGGACTTTTGCGTCCCACAGATGCCCAAGGTTGCGGCGGGTCGAGTAAAGAACGCTGAAATGTTTTACTGGGGTCTGTGTGTATACACAACAACTTCTCAACAGTGCTCTGTTCTCCGTAGAGCCTGCTAGGCAGGTACGCGATCTGAGTCGTTCCCTGGATTGCTGCGTTGATGGCCGCCGCCGGTATATCCGCCAGGCCACAAGGAACGAGTAGGACCCTCGTCTTCCCGGTTTCTGTATTTGCAGGGGTACTTCGGCGCCTTCTCTGACATCAGCGTCCCTTGGTCGAAATGAAGCCGAACACAGTGGCTCGCGACCGTCTCGCGTTGACGATGCTGCTGCAACGGTTCACCTGGGGCTAATAGCAAACACTTTGCCTCTCCCGTGCAGACAAGAGTGTTCAGAGCGACAACAAAACCGACGACTCGAGCTAGCTTCACGAGTCCTTCTTCCTTCTGAGTTCGTGTCGCCCCAGCGTTCCAAGCAAAGCATGCAAATGAAGCAATTCACTTTCACACGCCAGCGAGGCTCCTATATGCTTCGAGCGGTTCTCGCTGTTTTCTCGTGTTTTCGCGGTAACTGCAGCCACCATCACTACGACAAAACTGGGTAGCCATCTCTCCAGTACTCCTCGCACGTCCGTCCTAGGGAAGGTGCCTATTCCTACGGAGCTGAGGTGAAGAACGCCAAATGTCTCCTCACCCAGCGTTATCGACTTATCGTCAGAAACCTCATCCACCTCGTCGCCCCATCACAGGTCATCCAACAATTTACAGCAATTCCACACAATCGATTCTTCGAACCTCCAACGTCAACGACGACCAAAATGAGGATTTAACAATTAAGTTTTAATAACTATGAGATAGGTTCGTTCTCTTTCGCGCTCTTTGCCATCGTCTACTGGTTATCTTTATTTATATTAACCTTCGGCACCAGTTCGCGCTTTTCTAGTTCTATAGATGTTAATTGGTCCTGGGCGAGGTCCTTGTATGGCCATCGATTCGCAGATACCGATTCGGGAAATTCAATCCTGAGCAACTCGTCTTCGAAATGAATACGTGGGCTAAACTTCGGGGGAACTTATGCACCGGCTAAAAAAAGATGAGACATGCAGCGATCCGCTTGTGAGTTTCTGCTCTTCCGCTGAATTTGCTCTCATTGAGATTGCCGATTGCCAATGCCGACCTCATGTCGGCGATTTGTGATCTTATGTCGATCCGTCTAAAACAGTCGCGATTTTCCACAGCTAAGGCTTGCGACGTATGTAGGTAGAAGAAAACGGTGAGGGCCTATCGCCATGCTGTTGATAACAGTGCCGCTAGCAACAGTAATTCTTGCATCCTTTGGTGCTTTTTGCTCTGTTCGAACCAATACGGGGACAAGATAGGGTTATTTGTGTGCGCTTTAGTAACTTCTAGTATAACAAAGTATGTAGAGTCACGTAGGCAGTAGCTGAGTTGTAAGCGCCGAAGTGAAGGCAGTTGAGAAAGCTCCACGGCCAACATGGAGAAGCTTTACGAAGACGGAGGTCAAGAAAATCTCCCTCAGAAAAAGAGAGAGAACAGCTCTAACTAGTCAACAGCACCTAGTCTTGCAAAATAGGCAAAGTGAACAAAATGCAATAGAAGCCCAGCCTTTTCTATGGGGGACAAAGTTGAGCGAACGGCTGATGCCAGCAGTACAGACAGCGGTGAAAACAGGAGGCATGAGAACAGCGGGGTGGCAACCGCCGCATCGTTTCGACGGCGGACGTTCTCACCTCGACGCAAAAGCCAACGAGAGACTGATCACTCAGAAGCTTCTGGGACAAGCACAAGACAGTGGCGATGACACTGAGGGCAACCGGTGACACAGCTACGGTGGCAGATTGCCGTAGACTCCATCGTTGTACACCGTTACTAGAAATCCGCGCCTCCCTGCCACCGTATCCCATAAGTGTGCGCACTCCCTTTGAATGTGTAAAAGGTCCCTTTGTGTGGGTGTGGGTTGTACGTATATGCTGCTGGTGTAGGTATATATATTTGCATGGGCATCTGCGGCTGTAAAGGTTGTAGAGAGCGTCTGGACGTGTGGAAATAAAGCATTTAAGCGATAGCATCAACCTCAATATCCACTCTCGGAAACTGTCAGTTGTCGTAGGGATACCGCGTAGCCGTTTCCTCGAAAGCACAGAACGAGCAACCAAACGGATGGGAGATACAGCAATGGCAGATACACCGGTGGGAACGGGTTGAGCAAGACAGCGGTCGAGATATATGCCTCCTTGTGTTCGTGTGCGTATCTACGTACGAGCTAGTATATGGATCTACCTGCAACTGCGAGAAGTTTGCACAGCGCAAATGTTTAAGTACGTGTACATATATTGTAGAAAAGTGCATGCGTGAGAGGTGGGAGTTTTGGCTCGGGCCACACAGAATCGATTACGGGGGAACTCTGAACGCTGAGAGCGGTTGTCGTAGAAAAAAAGAAGTGAGTTCCGGAGTATAGGAGGTGGCAACGGTGACGACAGGGTCTCTTTTAGCCAAAAAAATTGCGCACCCGCGGCAGAGGTTCTGCTGTCTGGACAGTGATTTAATCTATAATAATCTGGATAAGGCTCATGCTTATGCTACTCATAGCCAGTGTTTGTAATTTACCTTAACCTGGTAATAGGACGAAGTGAAGATGCTCGTACAACACGTGTCAGAAAATTCGCTGATGAGATGAGAAAAAATAGCAGTGACAGGTGGATGAAAAGCAGGGCCGTAAATTAGGCGAAACATGATAGATATCGTCGTTATTGCGAATGAGGTGTGTCAAAGGAACGCGTAAAATGCTCGCAGCCTATACGATGCATTAAGTGTAGTCGGTATTTTTTAATATTTCTTCCGCAATCTTCTACTAAAGTTAAACATGATCGGCTGTAGGTCAGTCTCGACTCCCAGACACCACTATGCAGGTAATAGACGTTGTTCTGAAATGAAAGGAACAAAACAATCCTTTTCCAGGATGGAGCTGCCAATACGCTCATACTTGACATCCGTCGACAGGAAAAGCCAAATTGACTATTGAAGATAGGATAGAACAAAAAAACAGGACCAGACATACTACAAACATTAGACAAACTTAGCTTCTCAGCTTTTTAACGTTGTAGTCGGTGTCCTACGGAGACGGTAATTTTAATATCTGAACGTGTAATTTTTGTTCATAATCGATTTTTCTACTAGAACCTGCTCAATTAAGCCATACACTACATTACGGTTTTTCGCTATAAAACACCTAAAAACCTGAAGAAAATCGTATTGCTATCATAGATTGGCTTGCAAGTCGCATCATACCGAGGATTTAAAGTTTACAACGATGGCATTTTGGTCCTCGAAAACGACGCGAA